TCATGAAATTTTAGCTCTATTTTCGAGTGACCGCGGTGTTGCGCTGTCAATTATGGGTTTGCACCTATAGATGCTTGTCTGAGGGATATTTTCTTGAAAAAGTAGCAGATTTGTCAATTGTTCATGTGCCTCCGTTTTCCTCGTTGGCATGAGATGAGATAAGTCCAGTCAGCACCCGATATCTCCGAAACGCGCCACGCCGCGCTGCGCCTCGTCGCACAGTTTACATTTGATTTGGAGCGGCCTATGCGTGAAACTAAATTCGGCGATAGTACGTGCTCGATTACCACTGCCTTCAAACCCTAATTATTACAGATCATAGTTAAATAAAAATGCTATCTTTTTTACTTTCTCCTCTCGAACTCAGTCCAGATGCCATGATCCCTTACGTTCAATTCAATATTTCATGGCAAATCTAATCGAATTCATTCAGTAGGTTGAGTCTGCCGCGCTGAGGAAAAACACCATTTGAGCATTCGAACGTTCCTAAATTTTCTCACAGAAAATATTTAATTTTGAAGAGAGGTATGAATGTTTTCCCTAGAAATTTTCAGACATTTTGGATCACGTTACGAACAACATTTTCTAAGAAAGCAGAGAGAAAGATATTCACAAATTTCCCCAAAAATTGTGCTTTTTCGAAGGAAATTTAGCAACGTTTGAAGGCTCATACGGCGTTGTTTTTTAGGTGCCGCAGGATTCGCTTCAGAAAGACTGTATCATGGTTAGCACCCGATGAATTTCAATTTTTTCCCCCATCCAAAGTAAACGTGGCATCACTGAAAAGTGGCTGACCATGTCCATATGAGCGAACTTGCCCCGCTCGTTGAACTGGCTTAATCGCGCGTGTTAACAAACAAACAAACGACTTGCTCGACTCGTGCGAATCGTAATGACCTTCCATTCGTTATACTTAGCAGATATGTCGCTTTTGCTCGGATTATAATTTCCCCGGAGAAAGCAGGATTCAAAATCTCCGACCCCGTTCCGCCGCGCCGGCCCCCCTCTATCCATGGATGTTTGATGGTCCGATACGAGGACGGCACGTCCCGCTAATGTTTCGAAGGAAAGTTTAAAACAAGAATATTAATTTTTCTGTAAATCTCAGAGTGTACAGGGTGACCCAGAGTTAAACGGCCAGACTGCAGAGGCGTGTTCTACGGGTCAAAATAAGACTTTTTTGTTGTATAAAGTTTTTTCCAATAGTGCCCCCAGCTAGAGCTACGCCGCCCCCCCTCCCCCACCAAAAATTTCGGAAAGTAAATCGTTTTTTCTGAATTTTGGCAACGTTTGTATGCCAAATCTCATGAAAATTTGTACTGTCCTGTACTTTTATGCCCTGAATTCATACATGATCTAAAAAAATCGAAATCCCAATTTGAAGAGGGGGTTTCGGCTCCTGCAGTCTGGCTATTTAACCCTGGATCACCCTGTATATACCTGTATACGAAGAGGAATACCAATGCACGTGCCACGTTCTGATAGATTCGGCAGTTCTGGGTTTTCCGTGGGGATTTAGCGGACCAATGTACGTAAACCAACCCGATGAATGGGACCATGTACATCAATAAATTGTTCGAAAGGGATCATGCTTGGAATTTTTGTAGAGATGTAGTTTGAACACATTGACGAAATATTCTTCGGCCAAACTGTGAGAGATTTGTCGAGGGTTCCAGGGATCATGGACTGATATCCTTGGTCCTTGGAGAATTTTGATGCACCCTTTATCAGATATCTGACATCCCCCCTTCCGACTCTTTCCTTCGCTGCTGAGCTAAGGAAGAACGCCGTATGAGCTTTTGAACGAAACCAAATCTGCCTACTCCATGAGAATGTATTTTTGAGATTAGCGATTCATATATTTCCTTCGCACGTTTTCAGCTGCCTTGGATTAAATCGCGATTGGAATTCTCTGAAAAGTTCGAGGAAAAATATTCAAAATTGCCCTGAAAATTCTTATTTTATACAAGGAAATTCGGCAACGTCTGGGGGCTCACATATTGTTTTTTCTCAGCACGGCAGTTCAGGAGAGACTGTATATAATTTTGTTTTGAGTCCCTCCCGGGTCATCTTGTCACATTGCTCCTCTCCTATCTCTCAATCAACTGATCGCTCGCCTTCTGATAATGAAATATGTATTTATGAATTTAGAACGATCTAAACAATGGTGGTGCTCGGATGCGAGACACCTAAAATCAAATCAAAACCTATGCTCTAAGGGCAGGGAGTCCGTCAGTACGACGTACCAACGCAATATCTTTAGATGATTGGGTTGCAGGGGGCAAGGGGGGCTTGGGACACGGTTTCGAACACCGCGCCGTCGCTGTGAGAGACAAAACTGGAACAAATTTCATTAATCATCGTGAAATATCGACGGGGTAACATTGACAGTGAAATATCTCTAGGTACCCACCGCCCGGCGTTGTCATTCGTGCCACAAGTCACTGATTTTTTTTCTTTTTTTTCTTTTAGGGGAAGGGTTAACATCGGTCAACCCCTTTCCTTTTCCTACGAATTTTAAATTTTACGCTCTTTCATGCCGTGGTGTGAATTGCGATTTGAGTGCTGTTTCTTACGTATAGTTCCGCGAGAAACACGATGGTTCCATTGTTATTTTTTCTAAAAAACTTTCCAAGCTGAAGAAAAGCTCTCCATGGTGAGGTCTGCGACCATCCAATGTCCATCCAGGCAAAATCTCCATCCACAGGATAGGGAACGAATTGATGAGCAGGGTTACCGTAAACGCAAACTTGAACAAGTATGGTCTTAAAAAACTGAAACAAAATAGAAACTGCCAATGTATTCGCTCTCTAACTAGGCACAGACACTTTCAACGGACATATAAGTCGATGGCCTCATGACGTATCACACATTAACAGTTTTTTTCCTTTTTTTACTTTTTTACTTTTTCACTTTTTCACTTTTTCACATATTCAATTATGTATTCCTTTTTTTTCAATAAATTATCTGGTAATTTGTATGACCTATCGGGCAACTCTTGGCAAGAGATAAAGAACTGAGGTGAAATTATAGGAGCCCCACCCGAACCATGCAGTCGAAGGGTAGATCCGCCTTTACGTTTTCAAATTTGTTCGTCTCTCATTTTATTCAAGCCTTTTGGCATTTATTTGAGATGAAAGTAGTATGGAAGACAGATAGTTAACAAGTGAAACAATAGACTCACGACATGCATTGTGAGCATGAGTCTTCAGGCTTTTCAAGGGTTTGTTCGGAGGGATGTTCGTAGAGAATGGAGGCGTCGGGATCCCTGCGCACGGCACTATTGAGTTGATTGAGTTGACGCTTTTACCGTCTCTGTACATCCCTTGCATGTCTATCTCGATTACAGGTGAAGTCAGTCTCATTGCATGCGATGAGAATCTCGGTAAATAAAAGCCCATATCTTTGCCGGTCGAGTTGTTAAGTGAACGCACATTGCGGGGTGTTCATCAAATACTTAACGCTCCAGACGAGGTAGGAGGTTCGAAGCCTGCGTTAGGGGTGCGTTACAGGGGGAAAACGGGGAGTCCACGGCTAAGCTAAGAAACAAGGAAATCGACGCTAAACGCAAATTTTTCATCCTAGATTCATTACTAAACGTCTATTTGTGGTGAGAGGGGCGAGGGTCGAGCAGAGCGTTATCACGTAATTTCTTTTCTTTCTTTCTATTTTCTTTTATTTTTAACGGCGATGCAGACTTGTGTAACGGATTCTTTACGTAACGGCAGGGGAGAAGAAGTTAAACAAATTTATTTTCAGCATTAATTATTTAATAGACAGCCTCTTTTCTCTTAAATATAAGATAAGACATGGAATTTCGATATATTGCATAGTTAAGATAGGGCTGTATCTTGTCGTGTCGGGTTGACCAAGCTTCAATAATGGAACACTAGATATGGTACGAATTTAAGCAATCTGATACATGTTTTTTAACCAGAATTTCACGTAAAACACGATTCGCACAACGAAAATCACTGAAACCAACTCCTAACGAAGATATTAACGTTTTTATTTCACATTGGTTACGAGGAATTTGAACTGCCCGCTCACAAGAAACTCAAAGCTTTACGTGAGTCAAATCGCGCACTACAACGGTTTCACCAAGCTTCTCAATCGAGCAATGTTCATTTCTCACCATGTGCGTTGTTCAGACTATTAGCAATTTGCTATAGCTGAGCCAAAGCGTCAAGATTGAGGTTGCCAGATTTTTATAACGCAGAGACCGTCATGATAACGTTTAGCGCGCGATGTGAATCACGCAGACCATTGAGTTCTCATGAGCCGGTGGTTTGAATTCAAGCAACAGGAATCATTAAATTTCTTCGTAAGGAGTGAATTTCGGTAATTTTTGTTGTGCGCATCGTGTTCTACGTTAAATTTTGGCTGCAAAACATGTATCAGAACAGGGGCGTACTGGCCCACCGGGACACCGGGACATGTTCCGGTGCGCCCTCCCGCCCAGGCGCCCTGGCGCTCTATTGGTTTCCAGAAAATGAAAAAAATAATAATAATCATGCAACAATGAAGATGTAAGAGGGCGCCTAAAAAGGTTATGTTTTTTAACATTTTCCGGGGGAGGACCCCCCGGACCCCCCTCCGTACTGGGGGGCCCTCCGAGACCCCCCCCTCCTGTGGTGACGCCCTCAAAGTGTCTGTCCCGCGCCCCTTTGAGGGTCCCAGTACGCCCCTGTATCAGAATGCTGAAATTCGTCCCTTGTTTAGTGGTCCATTGGGCCGCTGTACTTACTTTCTTTGTTCATTACAACCACCTGTCTCTACCAACAGGATCCTTTCATATCTTTTTCGTCCTCTTTGTCTATAGCTTTGTCTATCAATTTCAATCATCATCTCCCGGACCTGCTTTTCGGGACCTCAAAACTAAGCCAGTGGTGTGTTTTTGATTGCTTTCAGGAGGCGTTGCGGAAGCGGAAAGAGGAGGAAGAGCGGATAGCGGCCCAGAACGCGTTCCTGCACTCGACGCTGCGGGGCTCGCGGAAGCTGCAGGCGCTGGAGAGCGAGCCGCCGCTCAGCGGGGTCGTCAACGACGGCTACGTGGACGACGAGCCGCTCAAGGGGGAAGAGGACGCCCCGACCCCCGCCCAAGGGGAGGAGGAGGAGGACGAGGACCAGGAGGCCGACGACACCGGCGACGACGACGACCGCGAGTACCACGACACTCTCCATAAAGTAATCGGTACGTACACGCTCAGTTTCAATCTATGGGCACTGGAAAAAAAAAAAAAAAACACATTGGATCTAGAGTCCAGACTCGTTAAAACATCGACAAGAAAAAGTACTCTTGATTCAATCAGAATCAAGCTTAAATCAAGAACCAAGCCTCTTAATTTAAGCGGATTTCGTTTTGATTCAAGTAAAAATCCGATTGAATCAAGAGTATTGTTTCTTGTCAATGTTTTCAAGAGTCTGGACTCTAGATCCAATGTGTTTTTTTTCCAGTGTAGCAGTCACAGCTGTCCCAACGGTAGATCTGCTGTGATAGCGAAGAGGGTAGTAAGTGTCAAATTTTCGAAATCGAGTTTCCTCCAAAATTCGTCTGATCTCCTTAAGACGAAATCACTGAAATAGTTACAATAGCAAAATTGTTTAAACACGAGACTCATGAGCAGCACTGGAAAAAAAAAAAAAACACATCGAATCTAGAGTCCAGACTCTTAAAAACATCGACAAGAAAAAGTGCTCTTGATTCAATCAGAATCTAGCTTAAATCAAGAACCAAGCCTCTTAATTTAAGCGGATTTCGTCTTGATTCAAGCAAAAATCTGATTGAATCAAGAGAATTTTTTGGCCAATGTTTTCAAGAGTCTGCACTCTAGATCCGATGTGATTTTTTTTTTTTTCCAGTGAGGGGTGCAGAAAGTGCCCGATCACGCGCCCGTCTGGTAGCGTGAAGATGTGGAAAAGTCCCAAAAATGTGGAAAATCTAAGGAAAACAGAAGGAAAACGTCATTTTTTTTTTTTAGATCGATGGGAAATTTTGTGAAAAACTGATGAAATTTAGAAAGCCGGCTGGCGGGCGCGTGAAAATGTGGAAACTTGGAGGATTCTGCACCCCTTTATATGAAAAGCCGTAAGTGCGCAAAAAGTAACGTAGTTTCAGGCAAGACAGCAGTAAGTGACATTATTCCTCCAGAGAGCCAATAATAACAGTGCTTTCAAACAAAGTGCCGACCTCAGCAATTTGACAATGAACAGAGGCTTTTTCCATACCATTTTCCAGATCAGACGTTTCTGAGACCGTCTTCTCAAAACTTCATTTTTGCACTTACTGCTCTCTTCGCTATCACGGCAGAGATTGTCACCTACCTATACGCCAATAGAGAATCTGGAATGATATGGATTCCGTTGACATGAATTGATCAAGAAATAAAAACGTGAACCAATCGACGTGTTCAATCGACAACCGTTAATTGATCGACGTGATTCGATCGACAACCGTGATTCGATAGACAAACCCTTGAATTGATCGAAAAATCCGTGTAGAGGACCGTTCGAAAGCTCCGGAAAGCGCCAAAAGTAATTGTAATTTTGTGCAAGTGAGTCTCGTTTAGATTCTATTATTGAAATCAATAAATACGAGGAGGCTATACCCCCTGGGGAGAGTCGGATGCTCAAAATTGAGTTATTGACCTCATCAATAGCGTTGGGTTATGAATATCTTCCGCGAGTATATTGCTGATATTTTGGCTTATTAAAGAAGTATAACTAAACCGTACTAATGACGGTTTGTGGATGGGGAACATAGTTTTGAAGATTAGCAAATAAATATTGTCATGTGCCATGTGTGAGACTCAACATCGTTTGGATGAAATGTGATTTCATGCCCTCTATTGGGATGAAAACCAATTAAACCCCTCGCAAATTATTCTGCAGGAGGCGAGAAAGTGCACAGTAATGAAAACTCATATTTCAATTTTTGGAACCTTCGGAAGAAGGTCACACGAACCTCCAAATTTTGCCAAATTTCGTCCGATGAAATACAAATTTTCTCGAAAACTTGTGAATTTCAATTATCTCTCCATTTTTTCAAAAATTTTACTCCCAATTTGACATAAACTACTCAAAAACTTTAAGAAAAAATGGACTGCATTTTGCAATTTGGAACTATAAATTCTAGCCCGGTTTAAAAACATTGTATGTGTCATTAGTTTCCCTATGCCTACAAGTGTTTTTTCAGATGAGTTAGAATTCATAGCTCCAAATTGCAAAATGTAGTCCAAATAATCGTCACTCTCCTCAAAAATAAATATATTATCGGGACAAATCTGGCAACCTTCGAATGTTCTTACGACGTTTTTCCTCTGCACGGCAGATATGTCGAAATTGAAGGAGGAAAAAATTACACGATCCTCGAGCGTCATAAACGCGATTTTATCACTCGATCTGCAAGCTCCTAAAATATAATAGCACCGTAGCCGAAATTTAAGGACAGCACTTCGCGTCGTTGCAAATCCGCTGGGAACGTAATTGCGAAGGCATTTGCTCATCTTAGACATAAAAAAAGATTTAAAAAAGACGCCGGACGGAAGTTTTGAGAAAGCTACATCCGACGACGATTAAATTCGGAGACCGTATACTGCCGTGCTAAGGTAAAACGCAGTATGAGCCGTCAGGCGTTGCCAAATTTCCTTTGAAAAATCGCTTATTTACAGCAGAATTCGTGGATATTTTCCTTCTATTTGTTCAGATAATTTTGTTTGTAATTCGATCTAAAGTCTCTGAAAATTTCAAGGACGAATATCCCTAACTTTCCTCAAAAATATACATTCATCGGAGGAAATTTTGCAACTCTCGATAGTTCTTGCGGCGTTCCTCCTTAGCACGGCAGTGTATAAAATAATTAGAACCCACATAGTGGCAAAGTGAAAGGCTTGAACGAGGAGCATTCACCTGCGGTGGAGGGAGGGGGAGCGGGGGTTAGGAGTAGGGTTTAATTTGTGGGCTTTTTCACGGGTGCAATTCCGTTTGATAAATCATGCATGTGAGCATGTGAACTCACCGCAGGCCGGCGTTGCTTCACGTGTGGCTGGCTACCGTCAACACGCTTTTCACCCGGGTCTCCGCCGCACCACTCCATTACATTACACAAACTCCTGTGTCTAAGAACTTGCCCTATGGACGCTCGGATGTGGCCAAATTTCTGCCGATAAAAACCGAATTCCATTCTGAAAAAAAAATCTCGGTGTATTTACTAAAAAAAGGGTAAAATTACCAAGAATTCAGGGTTCTATTTGATCCCAGTTTTTTCTTGGTAAAATTACCATTTATGGAATTGGTAATTTTACCGAGAAATCTCGGTAAAATTATTGAACTTTCTCGGTAATTTTACTGGACATTGGTAAAAACTCCAATATTGTTTATCGACTGTGGTAGAATTACCGAGGTAAAATGGCAAAGTTACCGGGAATTGATTACCAATAAAAGTGGTATTCTTACCTGAAAAAAAACAGTAAAAATACCGGTTTTTAGGTAAGCTTACCAGTCTGTCTTGGTAAAATTACCAATAATTGGTAAAAAAAGTGAGAAGGTAAAGGTACCAACGGACCTTGGTAAAAACGCCGAGAATTTTTTTTCAGTGCGGGTTGTATAGACATACTGTCCTCTCCGGGCGTAGAGGCTAAAAGTTCCGGGTGCCGGAGCCGGAGCCTTGATTGCTTCGGGTGCTACGCCCGGAACTTTCGACTTCTGAGCCCGTAACGCGGCCCGAATGTGTACCTACATATAGCCCGTATACGGCTTCCACGGCCAGATTTTTTTTTTCAGTGCATTCTTATAGTTTATTTTTTCTCAGTATTTTATCAGCAATGGAGAATTTGCAGGAGTCTGAAATGATTAACGTCATGTTGGAAACCACGGACTGGACTGAGCACAGGAATATCCTTGGTTTCTAAGTAAAAAAATTATTGGAGGAGATATAATTAACCGATCGGATCTGATAAAAGGCATGTGCTTTAACGGGAAACACCGTCTGAAAACGTCACAAGGCGGTACATTTTCTCACATTTAAATATATTCTTTTTCTCATACCAGAAAAAAATTATAAGATACTGCAAATCTGGCTCGCAAAGCACTCTCAGATGAAGCAATGGCATTTGTTCGAGCAATTGCTCCATTTAGTCTAACACGTCTGCCAGTTCCAATGAAGAAAGTCACAACGCTTTTCAAATTAAATCTATCGACAGAAGAAATTTGACAACGTCCCGATGTTCATACTGTGTTTTGCCATCTCACGGCAGAAAAGCTCACCCTGATCGAGAGCTTTTGCAAAGCAGTCAATTTCTGGCGCGGCGCACAGTAGAACTGGCGGTACGAATTCAAGATTGAGACGCCTTCAATTCGAGTGATACTTCCTGCATTACCGTTGAGTTAGTTTAGTTGCGTGACCTAACTTCCCGAGCTTGGCGGCCGATCAGAATCATAAAACTCGTGCATATAAAAACTACGGAGTAGTATTGATGCGTATTTAAGTATACATCAAAGTAAATCCACACTGAACAACTTTAAAACCCAAAGGATCACTGCTCCAATACCTAGAGAGCCTAGAAATATCTATTGATCGTAGGCGTAGGAACAGGATGTACGAATTCAAGATTGAGACGCCTTCAATTCGAGTGATACTTCCTGCATTACCGTTGAGTTAGTTTAGTTGCGTGACCTAACTTAACCCTACCTGACTCGGTCGCGATCGGTTCCCGAGCTTGGCGGCCGATCAGAATCATAAAACTCGTGCATATAAAAACTACGGAGTAGTATTGATGCGTGTTTAAGTATACATCAAAGTAAATCCACACTGAAAAACTTTATAACCCTAATGACCACTGCTCCAATACCTAGAGAGCCTAGAAATATCTATTGATCGTAGGCGTAGGAACAGGGTGTACGAATTCAAGATTGAGACGCCTTCAATTCGAGTGATACTTCCTGCATTACCGTTGAGTTAGTTTAGTTGCGTGACCTAACTTAACCCAACCTGACTCTATGTTCATAATGACACATTATAAGAGACCGTTCAGGCATTACGTAACGCACTTTTCCCGATTTTTTACCCCCTTCCCCTTCCCCCTTGTAACGCAGCCATATA